CCCATATCGTTCCGTGGAGTGGGTGTCGTAAGATGCGTCGTACTGTCGCCCATCTCCTGTGTCACTCTCCTTCTGTCGAGGGACAATGGAACAGGAGATGGACGGCACCATTTTCCTGATAACAACTCAAAAAAACTGCGGTTCATTAGTCACCTGCCAAGATTGGCAACTATGGACAAAAATGTTTGGGGGAGGCGTATGTTCGGGAGTGAACTTTAAGAGGCTCTAATGGATGGGTGGACGGAGATGGATAGGTTAAATTGGACCTTGAATGTATTTTATTTTTATTTTTTTTTTTTTGGAAAATTTACGAGTAATTTAAAAAATAATGTAATTATAAAAAAAAGGAACGCCATTTATAAATTTTCATATAAAGAATACTTAATACATGGGGCACACTGAAAGTTTTGCACTTCTGGTTTCTCAGAACTGTTTGAATTTCGGATTATTTATTTTTTTACACACGAGTCCTTGATAAATTAGAAAAATGCGAGAAATCATCTGTCAATGGAATAAATATGAAAAGATTTTAGAACGATGATTTATATGATTTTAAAAGTGCTATTTCTCAGTAAGATTGTAACATTCGTCTTCAAAGTGCTTTTGGGAGGGAAGCACCCCCTCTAAGCACCGTACAGTAAGGCGATAGTATGCCGAATTTGAGCGGGTGCGGATTTCTCTACTTGATGAAATTCGTGAAGGACGGCCTGCAACTGCGACCACTGAGGAAAATGTGGCTACTGTGAAAAAGATAATTGAAGAAAACAGACGCATCACCTATGAGACAATTCTGGGACATTTGGGAATTGGTGTGAGTCAAATTCAAAAATTCTACAAGAACAATTAAAAGTTAGAAAACTTTGTTGTCGTTGGATTCTCCATGAACTGACTTCATAACAAAAACATGCTTCGCAACAAAAAGATGTTACTTAGGTACGACCATGGATATTCTAAGGCTGTAATACGACATCATCTCATGAAATGAAGCTTGGATTTGTTGTTTTGAACCAGAGAAACACCAACAATCTTGTGAATGGGTGTTTGAAAGCGAGAACAGACCGACAAAATTCAAGCAGGCGAGGACCGTTGAAAAAAATGATTGAATTTTTTTTACAGTCCCACTTCTTCAAGTGTAAGTTCTTTTTTCTTTTCTTTAAAACATTCCATCAGTCTAATAGTCATATTTTTTTGAACACTAATTCGAACGCATGATAAAACGTTTCAAAAGTAAAGGAGAATACTTAATATATTTATATATTTATAACTTGTTTAATTAATAAGTTATGCAAAACTTTCAGTGTGGCGTCCTATCTTTGCGCCCTACGTATAATAAGAAAGAGTACCTATGTTACCAGAGATTTACAACATGTAACAAAAACCCCGTGGTTCCCGTTAAGGCGTTACCCCTAGGAAACAACCTTGAGCGTTCGGTCCTATACAATCCACGCGCTCTCGCTACAATATATCGCGTAAGAAATACGCCCAAATTTTAGAATTATCTCAATTAAAAAGAAAAAGCGAACTTAAGAAATTAAATAAAATGTGAATAACATAGATTTTTAAATTATCTATCCATTAGTCTAATCCTCAAATGATTAGAGCGTTGCCTTTAGCAAGAGATGCATGTAATCAATCATTTTAGTCATTTTTTAAAAGTTGATTTCAAATGTATTTATAACACATAAAAACAAATTAGAGCATGTAATGTGATAATAGGATATCGAACATTAATAATGTGCTTTTAGATGTAGTTTATTTCTTATAACTAATGAGATAATAGTCTCTGAAAACGCAAAATCGCAACACTTATTCTGATATCGCCTTGGGAAGTGCGATATCAGAATAAGTGTTCAAATATAATAAGCTTTCAAATATATAGAAACAACATTTTACAAAAACTCGACCATTAAAATTTAATTTTAATTATATTTAGTAGACTTAAGAAAACAAAACATTATCAAAGAGTTTGTTATTTAAAGTTATTAAAAAGTCAACGTTTAAGTTGGAAAATGCTGGAATGAAATAAATGAATATCTAATATGTAATAAGTAATAACGTATTTCCAATGAAACGACGTGCAACGGTTAATAAAACGCGTACGCAGTTAGTCCAGACAACGTTCCTGCCAAGATACCAGCTGTATTACCCGTTCGACAACGAAATTAGAATATTGACCGTATTAGTAACCCCTGCTATAATATATTATGTTAGGTATAACCACATATTGCTGAAGTCACCTAAGGTCAGAACTTACGAGCAATGTGTTTGTTTACCTGATGCTCCACTTTACTGGCTTTATAAAGCCAATACACATGGTTTGTCAATACACAGTTTTGAAGTGACAAGAGATAAATTAAAATTTTTAAGTTGTACAACCGACTTCATTATAAATAAAATGAAAACATCATCACTGTAGTCGAAGGCAGTAAAATAAGCATTATTAAGGATAACTCAAAAACTATTGATCAAATCTTGATGAAATGTATGTGGGACTATATGAGAAGCACCAGCTTTCAAATAGAAGAATCATCAAAATCGGTCCATCTAGAAAAAAATCAACGAGGTAAAAGAAACAACTTTTTTAAAAACACATAAAAATAAAGTCGAATTAAGAGCCTCCTTCTTTTTTGAAGTCGGTTGAAAATGTTTATTAGGCACGTTTAGCACTTTTGAGATGGGGATAAAGCACTGAACTTGCGTGGCAGTCACGCTTAGATACATAAAATTGATAAAAGCAAATTAAAAATCGAATTGAATAAATTTTATAAAATTAATATATATTTGTAAATTTTTTTGTATTATGTGGATAATATTCATGTAAAATAGCGCAATAAATAAATATTTTATTATCGTAATAATAAGTTGAAAAAGTCATTTGCTATAAAAAATACTTCCTAAAAATTTTTTAACAGCCAAAAAATCATATCCACAAGTTTGTGAAGCTAAAAAGTTTACACTTCTAATGTAAAGTCCTACGACAGTTTTTTTTTAATTATACCTAATTAATGCATATAAACCAAATTATAGACGAAAAACTTTAATATTCAACAACATAAATTCTGAATTAAAGTTTTACAACTAACGTATTAGACTCTTAAACTTTCTAACGTAGTAGAGCCATGTTGCAGCTATATAGTACGTGAGGGTAATATGGTCATTTTCTTATGACTCAAAAACTATAGCCTTGTTTGCATAGATGTCTCTGTGATACGATAGCTTTTCACCAGTCAATCAAATCGAGTAGTAAAGGGTCAAAAATGTTCCGCTTTATCGACGCCATTTTGACATTCGTCATTATAATAAATGTTTTAATCGGTTTTAGTATTAGTATGGTGTGGTGCAGTTAGTTTTTTTAAGTTGATTTTTAAGTGTCCTAATTAAAGTTCAGTTAAACGCTTCAGACTATAATCTAGAAATTTCTAACGCGCTATTAAATACGCTATGTTATAGCGCGCTATTTATAAAAAAGTGTGTAGGAGGCCGGCAAGCGCGTTAAGTTTAGCAGCACGCTATATCTCGGAGCACGCTACATTACATGTCGTTCATTGGATAGACCGCGTGCTTTATAAGAATATTGTTTCGTAATAAGTCGCATTTCAGATTAAGATAAAATTAAGTGGTAATAAAATCAATGAACGCTCTTTCAATCTTTTCAGGCTTACGACTTTCTATAAACCTAAAAATATTTTTAAGTCGTGTACTTTTTAAAACAAAATAAAATTAATCATTTTTATTATAATTGATGTAAACGTTATTTTAACCTTAATATAAATTATAAATCAATCAAAGGTGTATTTAAAAGTTTGTTGATTGTATTTACAAAAATCAACTATTTATAAACACTATTATATGTATAAACTTTTGTATCTATATTTTATTTACATTTAAAAACATAAGTTAGGTTTCTTTTGTAGCAGACAACTGTGTCCTTCGATCACTTATAAATATACAGTATACACTAACTAAATAACGTTTAACACTAAATTAGTTCGCGCGCGATGAATAGCGTGCTGCTAGATTAAATTTGCGTCACACGTCTACTCCCAACAGCGCTGCTGCTAAAACTAATTGCCGCTTGATATGAATAGCGCCAAACATAGATAAATAAATATGTAGCAAGGCGCCAAAGCGTCATAGCGTCATAGCGTCATGGCGACTACTTACATAACACGCGCTATGCGTTATGAAGAGATAGCGCGCTATAATGTGGCGCTATGCGCTATATTAACCACCATTAGTCCTAATCCTAATATTGCCTAAGCTTGTTTTTTTGTAATATATTAGTTATAGTATGTGATTAAGTATTTTTGTCTCTGTTCTCCTGTTTTTTTTTGGTTTTAAACGGCGGCAAAACTTACTCGTAAGGTGACCACATTAGCCTCAAGTACCTCGTTATGATATAAAGCGTAAGTAAAAAAAGCTTAAAAATAGCAGCTCAAAGCTGCTTTCTTTCGTGTGGTGAGTGTAAATAACCGGAGACCTTTTTACCGGTAATGAGGTATTCGATCTTAGTCCGCGTTGGTGGCAACGCATCTGCATTTTGATTCTTAATCGAGGATAGATGTAGATGTCTATGGGCCACAGCATCCACTTACCATCAGGTGGACTGTGTGCTCGTATGTCACCCTTATTCTATAAAAAATGTGCGCAGTTCACACGCGGTAAAAGAGAATGAAACCTTAGGAAAAGGAGACCGATATAATAGGACCATTGTATGTAGGAACATTGTATACTATATTCTATCTCATTCGCTCGCAGGCTAAACCCTATAAATGTATATGTTTGTCTCTTTTTAGTGTCGTTTTTTCGTTTCATCGAGTTTCAAATCAAAACGATTCTAAAGAAGTTTTCACTTCATAAACAGTATCTAGACGATGTTTTCGTTTTTCTTGTAATAGGTTAATTAATTATACTTGTCAGTGTATGTAAGGTACTCTGTGGTCTACTACGATCCTGGCCTAATCGCTATCTAGACTAAGGCTACTGAAATCTTTTTACAGATATCGACTGCAATGGTTACTTAGACGCGCACGACTTCCATTGCTTGGCGCTGCGCTCTTGTGTGCTGGAAGGAAAAGGCGAGTGCAGTAAAGCACGCTTGCAGAAGTACCAGCACATTATGCTCAGCCTCTGGGAAGAGATCGCCCAGATGGCTGACTTCGACAAGGTGCCAGACTATGTCGGTTATCACGTCCTTACATCATTCCGCACTGTATGCAACGCTCCGCCACCTTCTAAAGGGATACAAGGCTTCTATTGTATTTTATTTTATTTCAAATGTATTTATTGTTTCTGGAAAAGGATTGAACTATAAGAAAGGGGCGTGGTTATTTGAATCACGTAAAGTATCTGCATACTTGAAAGTAATAATGGGGCAATAGTCCGGTTAGTGCAAAAATTCGCGTAGAGTTGAAAATTGGTACGAATGTTCGGAATACCATCATTAATGAAATGTAAAAAGTCCCCATCGATCCCACACTTGCAAAAAAAAATCCAAGGTCAATGTTTCTTAACTTCCCAACTTTTTTAATCGTTATATCTCAGAAACGGTGACGTTTAGGAGAAAAACTATAGAAAATTTGTAGATAATTGCATGATCTACAATTTTTGTCCGACCTATTTTTATCATAAAACTTACTGTTTTGCTAAAAACGCAAAAACCTATATTTGCGAACTTTGAACTTGAATATGACATTCCGCTCTCATCACATGTTTTTACAGCCTGCAAATAATTATTCTGGGTATTACTATAATAATGGTTCCTGGACACTGACCTCTATATATACAAGTACTCTGGACTGGCTATACACCGTGACATGATGAAGCGATTTGATTTCCGCCATTTTGGCGCTGACATCAGAAGTGCACGTCCACGAAACTAATACTAGGGATAAGACAGTGTACCAAATTATATCGATAAAAATTCTATACTCTACATATACCTAAATAAATAGAATGGACTCTATGGATGGATGGACTTTGCCCGTAACGTCCTATTTATTTATCATATTAATATAATGCCATTATCATTCATCATCATTAAAACACTTCACAAATCCACTGCTGAACATAGGCCTCCCCCAAGGAATGCCACAAAGCACGGTCCTGATCTACCTGCATCCATCAACTTCCTGCATGTCTTACCAGGTTTTGACTCCATCTAGTGGGGGAACATCCTACACTTCATTGCCAGTACGAGGCTGCCACTCGATAACCTTTTTTCCCCATCGGTATTCGGTTCTTCGAGCTATATGGCCGGTCAATTGCCACTTCAGCTAACTAATCCATTAGGCGATGTCAGTCACTCTGGTTCTACTGCAGATATCCTCATTCCTAAGTTTGAACCCCTGAGTATAGCCCTCTTCAGAGCTCGTTGAGCGGCTTCGAGCTTCCTCATACGGCCAGCAGTGAAAGACCTCGTCTCAGATCCATATTTCATCACTGGCAACACGCATTGGTTGTATAATTTAGTTTTGAGGTATTCCTGACGAGAAGATGTGTTGTAATCTCCCGAACGCTGCACAGCCGAGTTGAATCCGCCGATTGAGCTGTCGGTCGTAGTTGAACTTCGACCGACTGGTCAATTGACGGACCTACCTAGTCGGACTCTTTGTCCCAGTAAAAATACTCATCAACAACTTCAGCTAAGTGCTCCCAAAAACCACAGGCATAGGTGTGACATGGACATTACACATGACTTTTGTTTTCTCTAAGTACACAAAATAAAAATAAAAACATAATTTCTAGAATAATTTATTGTCAACCGTTCACTTTGTTTTAGTATTATAAAAAACAAATCAGCTGCTATAATAACGCCTATTGTAATCAACTACAGGTCTGTCTATTGACAGTAAAATATTTTCTACTATATAAAAATGTATGTTTGTTCGTACTTTCTACGATGCCATACCGTTCATCAGATTGCGGTAAAACTTAGTCAACTTGTTGGTTGCACTTGTGAGAAGGTTATACGCATGGTACAATTAACTGACACTAGGTGGCGTGCGTATTATACTGACTATTTATTTGAAAGTCATAGAAAGTTATATATCATTCTATTTCAATGATTGTATTATCATTCCTAATTATACAATATAACTGTTCCACATTTTAACGATATTTCCACAATTATTTCTTCTGCGGCAGCAACGCGCCGGGTATGAGCTAGCAAGATTATATAAAAAAATATGAACTTTGAATTACATAGTTATCAGTTATTTATAACGTCATTTTCGAAATTAAAATTACAATATTAAAAAAAATTACTGAAATTATCAATTACCGAGCCCGATATGTGAACGGAGCCAGGGAAAAACGAGCACTTGGAAGCATCAAGTGGTGCAGCCTCACCAAAGTCGCGAAAAACAGTCGAGTGGCGCATCGCCAATCGCCATACCAACACTCCTCTTCCAGCAGTACAGTGAGAGGAATCTCCTCTAGCCACAGCCCACTAACACACATCCAACGTGACTCGACATCATCAGGCGACCTTTCGACACTTGGCTATGGCCCTTGAGTTTGGTGGAAAATGAGGAAAGAAGAAAAATCATTCGAAATAATAATCTAATACTTAGTACTTCGTAGTTGGTAGTGCTTGGTACTGGTACTACCAGAAAATATTGTCGGTATACTGCACTTTTTCAAAGTGGTGCAGTTCTCATGTCTAATAAAACAGTCGTCTGTGAAATGTTTGGAACAAATATGATCATTTTGTTTCGGATGCCAATTCACAATATTTATGATTTTAAGCCATAATTTTAGTCTAGGTTCAGTTGGAAACCTGTTAATTAATAAACATTTGATAATCATCTGTTGTTGGTGACTTTGTTTGTTAACAGATATGGGTAGGACAGAACATCGATAAGTATTATAGACAAGGAACTCGACAACCCTATTGAATTTTATTGTTTATCAAAACTCGGTAATATACAGCTAAACATGTTGATATATATGATATTAAGATTAGTAACAAATTTCTAAGTACTTATATTATCAAATAGTTTTAATTTGTTAAATATTTACTGCAAATTCCTTACTTGTGAAATGTTATACCACTTCCCTTTTGGTAACCAGTTTTACAGATTACGCACCCTCTCATTATTAATGAAAATAATTCTTATTATGTAACTAATATTATACATAATCAAACAACATAAAATACTTTCGTTTTTTAGTTTAAAAGTTCAAAATACAGACTTATTAAATATGACAATATGAATAAGACAACATACTTTGGCATATTATGTCAATTTTATTTTTCAAGACATCCTTTAGCGGCGCTTCAAATTGGCACAGTCACTTTGTATGGTATAGCCAGTCCAGCGTACTTGTATATATAGAGGTCAGTGTTCCTGGATATTTGTCCTGCAATTTATGTATGTAAATATAAAAGAAAATTAAAATCAGTCACAAAAATATTTTTGGCATTACGAGTACAAGTTAATTAAATGAAATGACAATTGGTTGGACTAAAAATTATTTAAAAGTCGAACTAACTATGATATCGGAATGTGATACACCTTAGTCTCCCCTGTGACCATGAGTGCTGAAATCACTCGAAAAGCCGGAAATTAAAAAGTAAAAATTAAACGTGATGAAATCCGTAAAATTAGTTTTTTTTTAATATGTCGTATTCGCATGAATATAAAAAATCATTATGACAAATCAATCTCTTTTTTGAAATAGGCTATACATTGTCGTAATACAGGTGTACTGCTGCTGTGAGACTATCCATTACCACAGAATAAATAATAGCATTACCCTATGATCCTAGTGTCGTAATAAATGGAAACAAACCAGGAGATGGAGCAGCGTCTGTCTATCACAAGCAACAAAAAACTGCGGTCTACTAGCCCCGCCAAGCGAGGATGGCATTTATCCCCTTAAGAGTCAATCCGTTGGGAGGCTTATGATAAACAGTAGACTTTAATAGGCTGTAGAGGAGGACGGTTTTTTAAAATTCACAAAACGATTGCGGTATAAATATAATTGTTCAATTTCTATTTTATAAATAATACAATCTTAGTTCCAAAACTTGTATCCCTTTAGACGTAGAGACCTACGCCTGCAAATCTGTCTAGATGTGTCTGTTCTATGTTTATAAACAGTAGGTAAAATCAGACACTTTTTAGGCTGCCTCGTTGGTCTAGTGGCCGTATCATATTACGGTCCCGGGTTCGAATTCCGGGCCGGCCAAAAACCAGTTATTTGGTTTATCTTTCAAGACAACACTCAACAGCATTCAGGAAGTTGGTGTGTTTTACCATCGAAACTCGGAAAGCACGTAAAGGTCTTTGCCTGAACCTGATCTCTATCCGGTCGTGTCGGATAACCGTCCCAAGGGCAAAGAGAGTGCACCGTGCATACTCATCCTCGTTGAGACTGGTCTGATGACTGACTTTCGGTCTGGGGATCATTATAATTTTTATTTTGGTTAATTATATTCAACACGTGATATCATATTATCTTCTTTTGGACAACACTTCATCGTCCACTTCAGATCATGGCCCTCTCTCGTTATATGGTGGCAGATATCGCCACGTTTCTCAGGGTTCCTATTTATACATGACACAACTTGTGGCGTTCGAACGTTGGCAGTCAACAATGACCTATACAGACTTAACTTTCTTACACGAAATAAAATATTGCATGTTTTATTGAAAATAAGCGCTTTTGTATATATTTGTAACGCTTTATTACGCTTCGCGCTTTTTGTTATTTTACACTGTCGATCATCTTTATTTAAATGATAGTTTACTTTTTAGGATGGTATAGTAACAGTGGACGAATTCAAACAGGCGGTTATGAATTGCTGTGTGGGCCGCCGATATGAAGATTTCCCGCAAGCAATGAAAGCATTTATTGAATCAAATTTCAGAATGATTGATCTCAATAGCGACGGGATTTTAGCCTTAGAGGAATACAGATACGACTGCGTGCAAAGGATAGTGTTGGAAGACATCAAAATCATTGACGAGGCGTACTACTCCTTACTAAATGTAAGTTAATTAATTACTTTGTCATTAGATACATTATTCATTAATTACAATCTATCAAAATTAACTGCTGAACACAGACCTCCTCCGTAGATTACTTTATTAGAGAAATATTTTTTTATTAACGCTTGGGAAGCGGGTTGGTAGTCGATTTTTAATATAATAATTGATATTAGAAATACATGCTGCATATCTGCTGGTTCGTTTAATATCGTTGCCTCTTACGGCAACCCAAGACGATATGGGGTAGTGGATATGATTACATGTGTTATGATTCTTACACCGTATATACACCGTTAATATACGGAATCGGTCCCACATATATGCAATAAATGAAACCATATACTTGTTATCGCCTTTGCTGACGATATACAAAAAATGAACGTAATCGGTCCAATAATTAGGTCAAAAAGTAGAGTTTTAATTTTAAGCAAATTTGCACACTCTATAGAATTGGGTCACTAAGTCAATGATTCAATGAACTTGAATCCTTGAACATTAAAAAGCGACGTTGCCACGTAGTGCAAGCTATTGGTATTGCGACATATCGACATCGGTGTCTTTTGTCGGCGTGCCACCCGCGTGCAACGTTGTCACTCTTCCAAGGGGTCAAGGTACGTTGTCTAAACAGAGAGTTCACTTTTACTGAATTTATTTTAATATTTATTTTGTTTGAAAATTTAACTTTTTTATTTTACGGGTTTTAATTTAATATTTAATTTTTCTACACTTCTACGGACTAGTATTACTTGTGGTTTCATTTATTGCATATATGTGGGACCCATTCTATATGTATGTATGTATATATATATATATATATATATATATATATATATATATATATATAGAAAGCTGGGTGTGGCAGAAGAAGCACGAAAGTAGAATAAATGCTGTAGAAATGCGTTCTTTAAGAAATATGCTAGGGTTTAATCTGAATGACAGGGTGAGAAATTGCGTGATAAGAGATAAATGTGGTATGCAAGATGATGTTGTGACCAGGATTAAGAAAGGAATGCTTCGGTGGTTTGGTCACGTAGAAAGAATGAATGATGAAAGAGTGACAAAGCAAATTTATATGGCAGATGTGAACGGCCGAGTCGGGAAGGGACGCCCTAGAAAAAAGTTTGTCGACCAAATTGGCGATATTTTGAAAATGGGCCACGTTAGAAGTACCCTTAACCGACGAGCATGTATGCGTAGATATATGGATGTAAAGGAGGCGAAAGAGGTATGTCAGGATCGTGCCAAATGGAAGTCCGTAATCTCTGCCTACCCCTCTGGGTGACAGGCGTGAGTGTTTATGTTTATGTATGTTTATATATATATATATATATATGTATATATCTATATATATATATATATATATACCCAGAGGGGTGGGCAGAGACCACAGACTTCCATTTAGCACGATCCTAACATACCTTTCTGGCCTCATCCACATCCATATACCTACGCCACAGATTACCTCCTAATAGATACCGCATCATGGAATATTTGTTCTGTTTCGATTTCACCAAATTTCGGGTTGCGGGGGACGCGTCAAATGTGCTGTGATTGGATAATTCAAGGTTAAACTTAGAATGCTCCGAACCATAGTGATGATTGACAGGGTTGGGACGTTGATCGATAAATTTGGGCTTTATTGATTATTGATAAATAAATGAATTGATCAACTTTTATTCGAAATTTATTAAAAAATAAAACAGTGTATATAAATAAAAGAATATATATATATATATATATATATATATATATATATATATATATATATATATATATATATATATATATATATATATATATATATAAATTTTAACTTTGTATACTCCAGATTGAGATTTACAGCACCTTATAACTACCAACACCCTACATATTACTATATTTACACGCCTATTACATACACACTACGTATTAATTCACACTCAATACACAATCACATAAGTGCCATACATAAGAGCATCATACAGTACTATTTACATTATGTTACATTACAGTATGTGATAAATAATATATTAGATTTATGGTTAATAATAAGAAATACTCAATATCATTTTGGTACTGTAACTATGATAAATTACTATGATGAGTATATAAGAGCCTGTAGCTCTCATATTAAATTGAAAATGACGTCAATACCTGCCTACACACAAAATGGATAATAAGACCTTACAAACTTTACAAGAAATAGATAGTATAGACATAGCGCGGTCTATCGAGTGTAGTAGTACTTCTGACCTAACAAAACATATTTATATTAACAAAAACGATCTTACCATTATTTCCCAGAATATTAGAAGTATTTACCATAACTTTGATGATTTTTTTAATTGCATATTCTAGCCTAACATTTGACACAGATATAATAATTTTAACTGAATGTCGATTAAATGTAAATAAACCTATTCCCCAACTTAATAACTATTGCTCTTATGCTACAAAATATCAGGTGAATCAAAATGATGGAGTAGTGGTTTATGTCAAAAATACGTTACAACCTAAAGTTAAGGAAATACAAATATCACAGGCTTCTTGTCTACAGCTAGATCTACTCAATAATACCATATTATGTATATATCGTTCTCCATCTAACACTGACACTGATATTTTTATTGATTCACTTGATACCCACTTAAGTACATTAAATACCCAGAATAACGTTATAATTGCAGGAGATATTAATATTAATATAAAAACAAAATCTGTAGAACTTCCTAATGAGTTTAAAAATAGGGCAAACTACCTAAATATGCTTTCAACACATGGTATACTTCCTGGACATTGTTTACCCACCAGAGAAAAAAATTGTTTGGATCATTTTATGTTAAAAATTAATAGAAAGAAAGTATCAGCTTTTATAGCAATTATACAAACATCTATCACAGATCATTTTACTACATTTTTATCATTATCTAAGTTAAAGAGCAATATAAGAATAAATAAAACAAAGAATTCTATAGATTTTGAAAAAGCTCTTAAGCATCTACGTGACCAAAATTTGCAAGAATTACTGTTTTGTGAGGATCCAAATTTATTAATAAGTCAACTTATACAACAAATAACTGATTCATTGAAAACGTGTACTGAAATTAGAGTTATTCCTAGCAACAAACGGATCATAAAACCTTGGATAACAACTGGTATTTTACGTTGCATTAAAAATCGAAATAATTTACAAAAACAAGCAAGAAAAGACCCACACGATGAAATACTTAAGATAACGTATAAAAGGTATAGGAATTACTGTAATAATCTTTTAAAACATCTAAAGCGTAAATATGAACGAGAATTACTTGCAAAATCGGTTTCAAATAATAAATTACTTTGGAAGAATATTAAAAACATAACATACTGCAATAAATCTAAGGATCAAAATACAGAGTTATTAAATATAAAATCATCACCATTGCAATCAATCAACTATATTAATGAATACTTTGTCAATATTGGTAAAAAATTAGCACAACAACTAAATTCAAGCGGCCATAACATACAACATCATAACTTGCCTACACAGTCTAATTCCTTTGTACTATTAAATACGGACACAGGTGAGGTGGAGAGCATATTAATGAATTTAAAGACTGATAGTGCCCCTGGTTGGGACGGGATCTCCACTAGATTTTTAAAGTATGCCAAGAACGAACTGATACCAATTTTCACCCACCTCACTAACCTATGTTTTGAAAAAGGCGTTTTCCCGGAGAAACTAAAAAAATCTTCTATTGTACCAATATTTAAGGGAGGGGACAGAGGCAACATCAGTAATTATAGGCCCATATCAATATTACCAGCTATATCAAAAATACTTGAAAAATTAATTAATATTCGACTTCTTAATTATTTAAATTCTTTTAATATATTATCTCCTTATCAGTTTGGTTTTAGGCATGGCAAATCTAGTGAGGATGCAGTTGCTCGTATGACATCATTGGTGGTTGATGACTTAGATAAAGGTCAAAAATGCTTAACTGTGTACTTAGATCTCATGAAAGCGTTTGACACGGTTTCTGTCCCCCTACTCTTATATAAACTGGAAAAAGTCGGAGTAAGAGGTACTGCCCTTAAACTTTTTAGAGACTACCTCTCCAATAGAAATCAATGTGTAAAAGTTGACCAGTTTATTAGTGACGACGCAACTATATCATATGGTGTGCCACAGGGCAGTATATTGGGGCCTTCCTTGTTTCTGCTTTACATAAACGATTTGTACAACTTAAAAATAGAAAACGCACAAATAATTTCGTATGCTGATGATACAGCAGTTATCTTTAAAGGTAAATCGTGGCAAGAAGTTAAGGAAAGGGCAGAATTTGGGATGGCCCAGGTGGCAAAATGGTTAAATTTGAATTTACTGACCCTTAATGCAGCAAAAACTAATTATATCTGTTTCAGTATATCTAAACGCACGCAACCCTCGGAAGATTTCAATATAAGGATTCATACGTGTAACAACATAAATAACTGCGCCTTTAATAAAAACTGTCCATTTATAAATAAAGTAACATATACACAATATTTAGGTGTAATAATAGACCAGAAATTGTCATGGTATTCTCACATAGAACATGTATCTAACAGAATTGCTAAATTAAATTGGATATTTCCGTTTGCCTCATGATATATTGTTAAGCAAATTGTCTGCTTATGGAATTTGTGGAATTTTTTTGCGATGGTTAAGGTCTTACTTGGAAGGTCGAACATTCTCTGTAGTGGTTAATGGGTTTCATTCTAACTGGCGGAAAATAGCTTCTGGTGTGCCGCAGGGGTCTCATTTGGGTCCAATCTTGTTCAATTCGTTTGTTAATGATATACCAACTGTTGTTAATTTCTCAAAAGTTTTTATGTATGCAGATGACCTGAAAATTGCTAGGGTCATAAATACAATACATGATTCAATAATGCTTCAAAGAGATCTCGATGAGCTTGTTGAATGGTGTTTGCACAATGAAATGTATCTGAATCCAGAAAAGTGTTTTTTTGTAAGGTATGGTCGAAAGAGAAATTTCGTTACATTTCAGTATCATATCGCTCGTGGTAATATCCAAGAACTTGAGCAAATCCGCGATTTGGGTGTATTATTTGACAAAAAACTGACATTTGTACCTCACATGGAGCAAATGGTAAACCGGGCCTCAAAAATTTTGGGGTTTGTTTTGAGAAATATTGAAGAGCTACGCAACAACAGGGTTCGGATTCTGTTGTACAACTCCCTTGTACGCAGTATTTTGGAATATTGTTCAGTGGTATGGAGGCCTCACTATGCGACTCATTCTCTACAAATAGAACGCATACAGAAAAGATTTTTGCGGTATCTCTTATCTTCAAACGGGATTTCAAAAAAGAAAATCCCTTCGTATCATAAACAGCTGGAACACTTCCGAATGATTTCCTTAGAAGAACGTAGAAAGCGGTTAGACCTATTTTTTGTTTCGAAAATTTTCACTAATGAAATCGATTGCCCTCAGTTACTGAATAAATTTAATATGCGCGTACCGAAGAGACCTCCTCGTAATAAAATAACGCCCCTCTGTCCACCACCCCGGAAAACAGTGTTTGGATCAAATTCGCCTGTCCCTAGACTTTGCAGGCTGGTCAATGACTACAGTGACCTACTCGATATTAATGCAGATTCAACCAATAAGATTCGATTACTGTTAAATGCCAAACGCTAATTATAATAGAAATGTATTTGCCTTTTTGTATTATCCTTTTCTTATTTGTTTTGTTTTTGCCTTAGCTCGTACTTAGAAGTTTTATTATATCCCTACTAAGCATGATGTATCTACCTGTAAGTGTTTGTTACACCTAGATTAATTTCTGTGTACTATGTATTTATATTTGTATATGTACTGATGTAAACAAACGTTGGTGGATCAATAAATAAATAAATAAATAAATAAATTTCGTACCTTAAGACATGTGGTGCCAAGAAAAGCGTCCACTGAACTTATGCAAAACAAATTATTAAACGATATATACACAGCTTTGGTACAATCTGTTTTGGGGTACTGTATATCTATATGGGGGGGTGCTTGCAAAACAAAATTTATCCACTTGGAACGTGCGCAACGTGGTTTAATTAAAAATATGTATTTTAAAAACAGAAGATATCCTACTACAAGTCTTTACAATGAAACACAGTTATTATCAGTACGAAAAATTTATGTACTGCACACAATATTAAAGAAACATAAGTCCCTATCTTTTAATCCAAATATTTTACAAAAGAGGAGAAAAGAATTAGTAGCACAAGTTCCCAATACTCACACGTTTTTTGCTAGAGTTCAGTATAGTAAACGCGCAGCAGAATTATACAACAAAATTAATAAACATGTAGGAATTTACACAATGACCCATTACGAATGTAAAAATGCAGTAAAAAAGTATCTACAACCACTTGATTATGAGGAAATTGAGTCTCTCCTTGAAAAGTCGCTCATATGAATACTCAAATAAGAACAGCACGCACACACACACGCACGCACGCTTGCACTCACGCACGCACACACATACACACACACACACACGCGCACACACACACACACACACACACACACACACACACACACACACACACACACACACACACACCACACAAGCATGCACGTTTTTATATTAGTTGTCTAAAAGTATTTCATAAGATTTTGTTTGTGAAGTTGTGGAAGAGCGGAGCCTCCTACTACAGGCGCTCTGTGCTTAAAGGGAGGCTCTAGCCACTTATTTATGTTAAAATACCTTGTGATTTAAATAAAGAATTATTATTATTATTATTATTATTATTATTTAGGGGTATCTATATAGTTTTCTCATCTGGTTGGGTGCTATAAATATATAATTATAAATGAAAATGAAAAGACAAATATACATAAATATCAATAACATAAAATAAATATAAAAGTACATAAATAAATAAAAGCCCAACCAGATGGAGGCCCTCGGCAGGGGGAGACCAAACGGCCGAGGGTTAGGGGGGAAAGGGAAAGAAACCGGCGGACGATGCGGGCGGTATCGAGGAGCACCGCCTTCTGCATTTGAACCTGGAGCGGTCCGCCACGTAGTCCCAGCCGCCTCAGATGACCCGAGAGGCTGACTGGGATTAGCCCGTTTGCAGAGACGACTACAGGAATAATTTCGGTCGGCAGACCACCCCACATGTCGGTTACCTCGTGAGCCAGGTCCAGATATTTTGTTTGCTTGTCTGTTTCGGCTTTCACGAGGTTCTCGTCATACGGAATGGTAATGTCGACCAAAAATATCCTTGACTGTGCCCGGTCCATCAGCACAATATCAGGCTTATTCGCAAGAATAGTCCTGTCTGTGATGATGGCCCGGTCCCAATAGAGCCTGGCGCGATCATTTTCGAGCACGGCTTCCGGCAAGTACTTGTAATACGGCAATTTCCGATCCACGAGACCGTATTTCAGAGCGAGCTCCTGGTGTAGAATTCTGGCTACTAGGTTGTGCCTGTGCAAGTACTCAGAGTTAGAAAGCGCCGAACAACCGGAGATAACATGCCTAAGTGACTCACCGGGATGGCGACAAGCTCGACAGACGTCGACGGTGCCATCCTTTAGGATGTATCTCCGATAGTTGTTGGTCTTAATAACCTGATCCTGTATTGCACAGACAAAACCCTCGGTTTCCCCGAAGAGATCACCAAAGCGTAGCCAGTGGAGGGAGGCGACTGTGTCTACGAAAGGCTCATGTAGAGCCTTGTAGTACCTCCCGTGGAGCTCCTTCTCCTTCCATACGGTCTCCCGGTCGGAAATGCTCTGCACTGCCGGGTCTTGCCATTGCTCGTTGGCTAAGGATAGAGGGGTAAGTCCTTTATCACAAGAAATGACGTCCTTATAGAATGGATCATCCGATCTCGCCAGGAAGTAATCACGGAGGCTGCACACTTCGCGATTATGCATGGTGAGCGCGCTCAAGAAGCCACGACCACCATGCTTCCGCGGCAAGTACAGCCTCATTACCGACGATCTCGGATGATGCATCCTATGGGACGTCATGGTAGTGCGGACTTTTCTATCCAGGGCGTTAAGTTCAGTCTGAGTCCACCTGAGTATGCCAAAGGTATACATGAGGACAGGCATGACCCAGCCGTTATATGCGTGTGCCTTATTCACACCGGACAAAAGGCTGTTAAGCACTTTGGTCAAGCGTGCATAAAACACGTCGCAAACTGACTGTTTCATACCAGTCTCATCGATACCGATGTTTTGTGACATACCCAGGTATCGGTATGTTTCAGCCTCGGAAAGGGTCCTTAAGTTGACGGGCATAGATAAGTCTACGCCCTCAGAGTTAGCAACCCTTCCCCTTTCAACATGGAGGACCGCACACTTATCCGTCCCCAGCTCCATTCCAATGGAATTGCTAAATTCACAAGTGATGTTTAGCAATTCCATAAGATGGGAGCACTGAGGCGTAACTTGAGGTCATCCATATAGAAAGTTATTATTATTATTATTATGTGTGGGGTATCTATATAGTTTTCTCATCTGGTTGGGATGTATAAATATATAATTATAAACGAAAATGAAAAGATAAACATACAAAAATATCAATAAAATAAAATAAATATGAAAATACATAAATAAATAAAAGCCCAACCAGATGGAAGCCCTCGGCAGGGGAGACCAAACGGCCGAGGGTTAGGGGGAAAGGGAAAGAAACCGGCGGACGATGCGGGCGGTATCGAGGAGCACCGCCTTCTGCATTTGAGCCTGGAGCGGTCCGCCACGTAGTCCCAGCCGCCTCAGATGACCCGAGAGGCTGACTGGGATTAGCCCGTTTGCAGAGACGACTACAGGAATAATTTCGGTCGGCAGACCACCCCACATGTCGGTCACCTCGTGAGCCAGGTCCAGATATTTTGTTTGCTTATCTGTTTCGGCTTTCACGAGGTTCTCGTCACACGGAATGGTAATGTCGACCAAAAATATCCTTGACTGTGCCCGGTCCATCAGCACAATATCAGGCTTATTCGCAAGAATAGTCCTGTCTGTGATGATGGCCCGGTCCCAATAGAGCCTGGCGCGATCATTTTCGAGCACGGCTTCCGGCAAGTACTTGTAATACGGCAACTTCCGATCCACGAAACCGTATTTCAGAGCGAGCTCCTGGTGTAGAATTCTGGCTACTAGGTTGTGCCTGTGCAAGTACTCAGAGTTAGAAAGCGCCGAACAACCGGAGATGACATGCCTAAGTGACTCACCGGGATGGCGACAAGCTCGACAGATGTCGATGGTGCCATCCTTTAGGATGTATCTCCGATAGTTGTTGGTCTTAATAACCTGATCCTGTATTGCACAGACAAAACCCTCGGTTTCCCCCGAAGAGGTCACCAAAGCGTAGCCAGTGGAGAGAGGTTACTGTGTCTACGAAAGGCCCATGTAGAGACTTGTAGAACCTCCCGTGGAGCTCCTTCTCCTTCCATACGGTCTCCCGGTCGGAAATTGTCTGCACTGCCGGGTCTTGCCATTGCTCGTTGGCTAAGGATAGAGGGGTAAGTCCTTTATCACAAGAAATGACGTCCTTATAGAATGGATCATCCGATCTCGCCAGGAAGTAATTACGGAGGCTGCACACTTCGCGATTATGCATGGTGAGCGCGCTCAAGAAGCCACGCCCACCATGCTTTCGCGGCAAGTACAGCCTCATTACCGACGATCTCGGATGATGCATCCTGTGGGACGTCATGGTAGTGCGGACTTTTCTATCCAGGGCGTTAAGTTCAGTCTGAGTCCACCTGAGTATGCCAAAGGTATACATGAGGACAGGTATGACCCAGCCGTTATATGCTTGTGTCTTATTCACACCGGACAAAAGGCTGTTAAGCACTTTGGTCAAGCGTGCATAAAACACGTCGCAAACTGACTGTTTCATACCAGCCTCATCGATACCAATGTTCTGTGACATACCCAGGTATCGGTATGTTTCAGCCTCGGAAAGGGTCCTTAAGTTGACGGGCATAGATAAGTCTATGCCCTCAGAGTTAGCAACCCTACCCCTCTCAACATGGAGGACCGCACACTTATCCGTCCCCAGCTCCATTCCAATGGAATTGCTAAATTCACAAGTGATGTTTAGCAGTTCCATAAGATGGGAGCGACTGGAGGCGAATAACTTGAGGTCATCCATATAGAAAAGGTGGGTCACTTTTGTCCCTCCTTTCCGTAGCTGAAATCCCCTCCCGGAGCCCTCCAGTAAGGTACTGAGAGGGTTCAGAGAGAGGCAGAACCATATTGGACTCAGACAATCGCCCTGGAAGATACCCCTTCTTATCCTTATGTGGTTCTCCGCAGCCATCATTCGCTCGCCCAGATGACAAAGGATCGTACTGCCCCATACACTGCTCGAGGAAGTCTCTAACTGCACAGTCTATCTTGTACAGTTCGAGGACTCTCTTTAGCCATGTATGGGGCACCGAGTCGAATGCCTTTCTGTAGTCTATCCAGGCGGCGGAGAAGTTCCGACGGTTGCGTTTCACCACTTTGCCAATGACCGCGTCAATGAGGAGTGGTTCCTTGGTTCCACGACCGCCGCCCCGACATCCATTTTGAGCGCGCGACATCACCTGATTTGAGTCCAGGTGACGAGTGATTCTCGCGCTCAAAATGGATGTTAGTGTCTTATATATGGTCGGTAGACATGTGATGGGGCGGTATTTGCTCGGGTCTGTGGTACTCTGGCCTTTAGGAACCAAATGGGTGATCCCAGTAGTGAAGAGGCTCGGGAGCGACTTCTGGTTGAGAACCTCTTGAAACTGTCGGGCGAGCACAGTGTGACACACCACGAACCCCTTCAGCCAGTAGTGATGCAGCCCGTCGAGTCCCGGACTTTTCCAGTTCGGGGCCCTACGGACCGCCTCAGCTACGTCATCCGGCGTTATGGTGACGGGGTCCATGGGCGTAATACCCGCACACTGACTCGCCACAACTTCCGTCCAAGGGCCCTCGTTGTGGTTTACGGGCTCTGACCACAGGCTGCGCCAGAATGCGACCGTGTCGGCCTGATTCGGTACTGGGCCCGTTCCACTTACCATTGGTCGCTCCAATGATTTATAGAGCCTCTTCTGATCACTCTGGAAGAGACGATTCTGGTTGAACCGTGTCGACCTCTCGGTATATCGCCGAATTCGCTTTCCCCAAGCAGCGATTCTCTGCTTCAGGTCGTCTATGCGCTCCGTCAGTTTTTGCATTATATCCGGCTGGGACAAACTAACATTTGTCCCAGCAAACGCCATCCTGACGGTGCGCACAATCCTTGGCCTGGTATTGCCTGACCTGAAGCATATCAGTCTGCCGATGAGGGCCCTAGCCTTTGCGATACGTTCTTCAATTCTTGTTCTCCAGGCTGGGATAGCACTACTTTGTCCAGTAGTGCGTCCAGCCGTGGAAAGTTTGGCGCCTATAATACGGCAGACTGCCAGTGCGGCGCCAAAGAGAATTGAGTCCGTCTCGCAAAGGTCCCGGCTGGCTTCCAAATAGGTCACCAGCATTGGGTTCAGAGCCCTCACGACAGCCCGATTCCGCTTGCTTAGGGCTATGCGGGGAAGTCGCGGTCGATTTTCAAAAGCCGTACTGCGCGTTTCCATAATCGCCTCTTCCAATGTACTCCTCATTTGCTCTATTTCTAGTTCCTGGGTGAATGTTCCATCATCATTTGAATCAGCAACCACTGGGGTATTCTCGGCGGCATCCACGTGTGCGGGTTGTTCTGCAACTTGTGGCACCGCACCCTCAGTCGTAGCGTTTTCATTTGATGAGGGAACAGCCTCACGTCGTAGCCGTTCGAGTTCGGCGCCATCAAATATATTTGAGCGTAAGATATACCGAACTCGGTCTGCCAGGTTTTGCTCGGTGACAGTAATAGATGGCTCCAGCTCAGTAAAAAGACGATGCATCCTAGCCCGATACGCTAAACCTCCAATTTCTCCCCCTTTCGCCCTAAAATACGCCCGCAATGCGTTTGAATTCATATTGATGGTCCATCGCATGCGGCGTACTCCACCAGTGGCGGGTGCCGATTGCTGGGCCTGCGAAGACCCTGCCGACACCAAGCAAGCTGGTGGGGATGATGGATGCGAGGGGCTGCTGGGTGGTCGTGCAGCACCTCGCGCTCGGCTGGCGGTTCGCATGCTGTCGCGTCCAGCGCCAGCTCCAGACGCGCCCTGACGACCTCCAGGCAGCGGCCCTTTGCGCAATCTTCTATGTTCCATCATCCATACAGGGCGTCATTTAACGGGAGACGCCCAGACCCGGCGCCGTTTCATGGTGAGGCCATATGCACAAGCGGGCCCTTGCACCATCAATTTTTGCCGAGGCACGGCGCTCACACCTCTTGGCAAGGTGCTGACTGACTGCGCGGACGTAGCGGTTTTGTCACATAACCGTCACGTCAACGGGCGATGGGGTCGTCACTTCCCTACGCCATATTACTATTATTATTATTATTATTATTATTATAGGTACCACAGTTATACGCCACTATTTGTATAAAATAATGACTACAAAAGAAAAGTAAACGATGACCAAACAAATATCGACTTATAAATCACAACACTATCGATACACGTGCTGTCGTTAGACAAAGACAACTATTTTAGTTTACGTAATGAGTGAAAGGGACATATTAAAAAAGACATCAACGGGTGCTCAAATGATATCACTTTGCAACATTTATATCCAGTGTAAGTTGAACTCCGGTCCATTTGAAATAGGTTAACGTGATAAGAATAAAATTTACTTACCGATGAAATATTATGCCATCTTTTTGATAACTGGATGTCTTAGCTGACTTGCCACACCATTTCACTGCATAGGAAGCCATTTGTAATGTATTTTGGATACCAAAATTATTTTTAAATTTTCAAAAACTCGGAGGTGCCTACGGGTCACAAACTTGATCGACAATGATATCGTGATTCTTAGCGTCACTTCATATGCTAGCTACAGCAAGTATGTGTTGCGCGCGTTTGTGGCCCTATATGCGGAATCTATTAGGAGGTAATCTGTGACCTACGCATACAAGCTCGTCGGTTAAGGATACTCTTGGCCCATTTTTAATATATATCGCCAATTTGGTCGACAAACTTTCGTCTTGGACCTCCCTTTCCGACTCTTCTATTCACTTCTGCAACATATATTTACTTTGTCAGTCTTTCCTCATCTGGGGGCACAGCAGTGCCCCCGCCAAGTCGAGCAAAAAAAGCGGCACGGCCGTACCATCTTTTCTCGAAGCAATTTAGGTCATTTTCGACCCCCTATAACTTCGTGGTCAATAAAACTAGAAGCCTGAATTTTCAGTAACCGAGTAAGCATTGTATAGATATGGTATATTTCAAATTTCATTCAATTTGAACCAGTAGTTTAAGAATTATAACCAGTTAAACTTTCTTAATTTTGTCACTCACTGACTGACCGATCATCAAAACTCTAAGGCACTTCTAGCAGACATAGAAGCTTCAAATTTAGAATGCAATTAGTGTTTAGAGTATAAATCAAGGAAAAACTAAAACATTTGTTAATTTCTTGTTTTCTAGATACACTAACTGCAAATAACTTTGTAATCCCTTATAAATATATAGAATTACAAAGTTACATTTGCAGTGAATGAACCAGTGTACTTGTATATGTATTACAGGTGTACATAGGTACGTTGTTGGTACTCAAGAAGTAGAAGGTACTGGAAAGGTAAAAAATTAAGACTATCTTATATACAAAAAGAAATGAGATGCAATTAAAAACATAACTTGTAAAACAAACCAAGTCTCGCAACTCAGTTCTTCTACCGTAAAAAGTTGTGAGATCCATATAATACCAAGTCGGATAATTTATTCAGTTCCTACTTAAGGGTCCTTCCGTTTTAAGTTATTACGTAATTACCTAACCTAACAACATTTTATAGTGACCATATCAATTTTAAAAGTCTTTTATATTTTAAATATATAGAATGACTTGGCAATCGCATTAAGCAATCTAATTTATATATACATGTATAATACGTATTACTTGTGAGATACATTGTGGTTTCATGCGATGGCCAAGTCAATCTATATATTTAAAACATAAAAGACTTTTAACATTGATATGGTCACTATAAAATGTTGTTAGGTTAGCTAATTACGTAATAACTTAAAACAGAAGGACCCTTAAGTAGGAACTGAATAAATTAACCGACTTGGTATTACATGGATCTCACAACTTTTTACGGTAGAAGAACTGAGTTGCGAGACTTGGTTTTTTTTTACAAGTTATGTTTTTAATTGCATTTATTCTTTCTACATGACCAAATTACCGAAGCATTCCTTTCTTAATTCTGGTCACCACATCATCTTGCAAACCACACTCTTCTTACTACTTAGTTAATAATTAACAGTATCTATTCCCAAATAAAGTGTGTTAGTGCTTATAATTTCTTTTTTCTTGGATTAAAGACATCAGAGAAGTTTTGACATATTTATAATTTTTACATCATACCGGAGAACACTTGAACTCCTATCCCGTGTGAAGCGAGTCACAGGCTACGATCGGGTCCGTTACGCTTGCTAGGAGGATTGTCCGTTGCCTTTTAAGCTATTTTACGTCTGGCAAAGTTTTTTCTGACATATCCTAGATAGTAAAACGCCTTTTCCGCCTAGAAGTCCTTCTGGTTGCAGTTGTAAGAGAATCTATTGGCCCCTTTCGTCAGGAGAATGTTGTAAATATAAGATTTTCCATTTTTCTCAAACCGTATTGAAAAGGAGCTCTAGAGTCCACCTGATGGTAAATGGTTACTGAAGTCCATGGACACTTGCAGCCAACTTCGCACAGAGTAGCCTACAGATGCGCTGTCAGCTCTGAGGACTAAGATGAAATGCCTCACATCCTTTAACTATACTGGATCTCTACTCTTCAGACCGGAACACGGTAGAGCAAGCACTGCTATTTGTAATGCAATGGCAATGAGCAAGCTAGAGAGCTCGAAGTACTAATAACCGAAGAAGAAACGTTTTGCAAGTGTAGAACCACGCTGCAGCTATTTTATGGTTGTAGCACGAATGGGTCGACCGGGAAGGACCAGGAATGGATCACCATTTACCGACAATAATATCTATTTTTGCTGGCAAACTGTCTATTACCTAATGGAATCTACGCAGACTAACTCCTAGGCCCGCTATCTAGTAAAGGTGAATTATTCGTCGTTTTTCATCCTTACTTCTAAAACAAGAAACAGCTTCTTATTTCCTTGTGTTATGCACAAATATTTTTAAAGGGATATTGTAGCATCTTATCTTATCCAGATAAATCCGTTATACAGAGCTCAAGTAGGATAATGTACTCTACGCGCTTCGCAAACTCTTGACACACTCTGTAAACATTTCCCGCGTAATTTTGGCAGACAAAACATTTAGATTTGTGTCAATGGCGATCAAACCGTGTAATAAACATAATTTACGTAATATATATGTAATTACACTAAGAATAAACAGTTTCACATAAATAACCATGCCAGCAATATAAAGTTTCATTTACATCACACAGGTAATTAAGAGGAGCAGCGGAGAGAATATTAATAAACCGCTAGAATTTCTAATTTCGTCCAATATAATCGTACAAATCCTTTTCCGTTTCCAAGCAAATCCTCCGATATTCACATAAATATGGACCAATGAGTCTCAGTCCAACATGAGACAAAATTTTGCCAACGCTCTATCTTTCAATCCGATTACAATGTGGCCAAAACAAATCTTATACGTGGTAATGTCAAGTCTTATACGTGGTAGAGCCACGCTGTAGCTATATTATGGTTGTAGCACGAATGGGTCGACTCGACCGGAGAAGGACCACTCTCTCACAGAATACCAGTGTAAAATAGCAGCGTAAGTACTGCTGTGTTTCGTATGGTGAGTGTAGAGGTCCGGAGACCCTTTTTTTACTGAAAATGAGGCATTCCATCTTAGTCTTCAGGGGTGATAACGCATCTGCGTTTTGATTCTTAATCGAGGATAAATGTAGATGTCTATGGGCCACAGCATCCTCTTACAATCAGGTGGACTGTGTGCTCGTTTGTCACCCTATTCTATTTAAAAAACCGTTACCGTTACAGCCTATTAAAGTCCACGGCCATAGGCCTCCCTCGAGGATTGCCTGACAGGAGGGATATTCTTCATAGTGTGGCTAGGCTTGCCTAGCGGGTTGGCAACCGCGGTTTTTTAGTTTTAGTCGTTATTAGGAATACGCTGCTGCCCATCTCCTGATTTATTAGAAGCAGTGGGGTAGTGGATATTCTTACATCGCCACTACACGGTATAAAGCAAATAGGCTAATTTTAAGCTAGGGTAGTTTCGCGGTTCGCGCGGGCTGCGGGGCTCTGAAACAGCCTCTGGACGAACTGAATTAACAGCTTAGCAGTGGAGGGACCGATTCTCGTTGTGTATTGAGATCCCGTGAGCTTTAATCGACTTTAACGCCGAGGAACGCGACCATGGCGTTTTAATCGGTTGAAACCTGACATAACTCGCCTGCTTCCCTTAAAGCTAAAAAGACCGAAAGATCTTCACTCTCACTATTGATTCAGCATCTTTAAGGGGAGCTTTTTCCAATCTCTTTCAATGTAGGAATACAAAGAAATTCTATTATAATTTACCTCTTACTAGAGATGGGCCGAATATTCTTTTAATATTCGGTATTCGACATATTCGGCAGCTTTACCGTATTCGGCCGAATATTCGGCTAAATCACTGAACATTTGTTAAAGTGGTATTCAAAGTGTCCATTGTATTGAAATGTACGAATTGAGTAATGCCATGTCTTTTATAATTTTACTGTTGAAAGTATATTTTATTTATGGGTTAAATCTAGGTACTTGTACAGCGTTATGTTTTTGAGGCACTAAAGGTTTATTTCCAATTATAACAAATAGAAAGCTTGATAAAATGTTTTCGGAATCAAACAAAGAAACATTACATTTCATTGGTTTATTTTGGTCGTCAGTTTCTCTAAAATGAGTCCAAATAGTCTCCCGTCACTCATTTTTATCATTTAGTTATCAATTTTCACTAAGAATAACAACGAAATACTTTTCTCACAAAAATTGTCGGTACATATTAAGCATGTGCCGGCAATTTGCTCAGTACTAGATTATGCAATAACATGTCAGATGTGACGGGAGAGCGAGGGGCAGGATTTGGCGCTAGTAGGGGATAACCATTGTAGTGTATGTGATTATAAAATGCTA